CACACACACACACACACACACACACACACACACACACACACATCCCAGAGGCCAGCAGAGGCCTGTACAGCTATGAGTGCAGGATGGGGTGATGTGACCCCACAGGGGCCATAGCTGGGCTGAGCAGCTGTGAGCACAGGATGGAAAAAGGTGAACCCCATGGAGGCCGCGGGCAGGGTTGGTCAGTTGTGAGAACGGGATGGGCACTGTGACCCCCACAGGGCAGCGCTGGGCAGCTATGAACAAAAGATGGGGCACAGCGACCCCCACAGGAGCCATGGCAGTGATGGGCGCTGTGACCCCCACAGGGCAGCGCTGGGCAGGCTGAGAGGAAGGGTCATTGCTCGGACAAGCTGCACAGGGGGATTCTGGAGGAGGGGCATGTTCTGGGGGCCAGGATGGAAGCCTTGTCCAGCGTCTCAATGGACGTCAGGAACCCCACCAGCTCCTCCTCCAACCCCACTGCCAGCCTCTGGGGACTCTGGTTTCCACAGAGGCCACACTGGCCAGGGGCCGAATGCTTATCGACCAGAGATTGCTGGCTGGTGGAGAAGGTTTGTATTTCTTCTCCAGTGGGACTGGTTGTGGTAAACTCAGCCCCCAAAGACCCTCAGCATCTGGGGCTGAGCCCAAAGCACAGGTGCCTCCTCCAACAGCACAGAGGGCAGCGCAGGCCAAGGGGGGACCACTGGCCACCAGGAAAGGGTGCACGTCCTGAGGTATGAGCTCTGGCACCAGGACTCCTCAGCCTCCACACATTCTGGGTGCAGACGAGAACGAACGCACAGTGAGGGAGAGACTGGAGGGGCTGAATGAGAAAGTGGGTGATGAAGGAATGAGTAAGTGGATCACTGATTATGACTGAAGAAATGAGTGGATGAAGGAGGGGTGATGGGTGATGGCTGAGGGAGGGAGCGGTGAGTGATGTGCTAATGATGAGTGACTGAGTCAGTGGATGAGTGGGGTCACTTCCTCAGCTTGGAGTCACTCCCTCTGAGGTCTCTGCATAGGACATGGGAGTCTGCTACCCTACCCCTCTGCCTGACACCAGCCCCCCGCCCTTGTCTTGGGCTCCATCTGCAGTCTACCCATGACGGCAGCAGGAACTGTTCACCCCTGCGTGCACCCTGCACGTCCAGGGTTCCTCTTGGCCTCCCTGACCCATACCTGGCATTCTCACATGCATGGAGGGGCTGTCGAGGCAGGCCCCATCCTGTCCACTTGAGGGCCCTGGACTGGCCATACACACAAGAACAGGCCGAAAGAGGCTGAGTCTCGGCCCATGCAGAGGGCTGTGCCACCCGCTCAGATGAACACACCAGGTGTGGACAGTGTCCAGGCAGGGGAGGCTGGGCCTTCACCCAACCTCCCCATCATACAGTTCACAGGGGTGACCACATCAAAGCCAGAACACCCCATTCCGTCATCCAGGGACAGAGTGAGGAGTGGGCTGGCTCTGGGGTGGGTCCCCAGGGCCCAGTGGCCAGTTGTGTCTGCCCCAGGTCACAAACCCCTCCCTGCTCTTTTCAGGGAACCAGGCTGCAGGTCGGAGGTCAGCTCTGGGGGCTGTCAGGTAGGGGGACACAGGCACAGGGAAGGGTACCCTGAGTCTGGGCACCCTGAGAGACTGAGACCTGGAGAGGAAGAGACCAGCCTGAGAGCACGTGGAGGGTGGCCGGCCCCTCGTCCCACACCCCCTCCTCCCATACCCTCTCCTCCCACACCCCCTCCTCAGAAAGCTCACAGCATCTGGACAGATGGAGCAAAGGGACCATCACAAGGTGCAGCACTGCCCTCTGCTGACGCCTCCTGGAACTCACCCTCCCAGCATCAGCCCCCAGAGTTCACACCAGCTGTGGCTCTTGGCAGAGGGGACCCGGCCAGGGACCCAAAGGGGGCACTCTCTGAAGGCACCCCAGGGCTGCTGGCCACAAACGCGAGCTCCTGAAAATTCCAAGCAGGAGCTGCCCCAAGGGCACCACAGTCCTGCCTCCTGCCCATCCAGCGCCCACCCCTCACCTTCTCATCAGGGGTGGGCGAGAACATCTTCTCCTCCTGGGGGTGCTTGGAGTAGTCGAAAGGGTAGGACACCACCAGGTCGCCCCCGTGGAGGCTGGCCGAGAGCGTGAAGGGGACGGTACGCATCCACTTCATCATGGCCTTCGTCTCCGGAGCCACCTGCCGGGGGAGGAGGTGTGGGGGAGAGGGCTCAGTCCTTGGGCGGCGCCCACAGCCTGAGCCTCACACCTGCCCCACGTGGACGCCAACCCCTCCAGGCAGCCTCCTAGGCCTCCAACCATCCCCGGTCTCCCACCACAGCCCTGAGCAGGTGATACATTCCCAACGTTGGGTGGGACAAGAGCACACAGTAGGTGCTCAGCATTTGCTGGGAGGTGAAGGAAAGGTCCTGCTAAGGTCTGCAAACAAAGTGGCATCAGAGACAGAGCTGGGTCTATGGCCACAGGCCTCTGGCACCCACAGTACACTGGCCACCCCAATGTGACTCACCTCCAAATGGCCCCAGAGGACCCCACCCCCAGACAAACCCTGGGGCTCTAGGGGAGGCCCAGCCCCAGGTCCTGGGGAAGGTGGACATGCAGGCATCCAGGAGAGGCCAGCAGGACAGGGCAGGGGGTGGCTCCTACCTTACCCCACCAGTAGTGCTGGGGAATGGCCATGTGGTCACTGCGTGCACCCCGGACCCCTGCCAGCTGGTAGTACTCAGACGTCAGGTCAGGGAAGTTCCGGTTCAGATCCAGGTTCTGTGCGTTCTGCCTGCCACTCGTCCACCCGTTGTAGCCAGCACCCTGAAAAAATGCAGCACCCCAAGTCCGTCCAGCTGTTCCTGACATTGCCTCCACCACTGTTCTGCTTCCTCGCTGAGCTGGAATATGCCTGCTCTGTTGATGCTCCCCTTCACCTGGTGCACCCCCGTTACCTGCTCAGCTCACTTCAGACACTCCTGCAGATAGGAAACAACACAAAAGGTACAGCAGCAGACACCTCACAGATACCCCACAGACAGCCCTGCACACACCCACAGACACCCCTGCAGATAGCAGACACCACAACAGACCCACCAGCAGACACTTCTCAAACACCCCTGAACAGACACCCCTGCGGACAGCAGACACCACAACAGAAACACTAGCAAACATCCCACAGAGACCCCTGAACAGACACCTCTGTACGCACCCCACAGACACCACAGCACACACCCCACAGACACCCCTGCAGACAGGAGACAATACAAAAGAGACACCAGCAGACACCTCACAAACACCCCACAGACACCTCACAGATACCCCACAGACACCCCTGCAGACAGCAGACACCACAGCAGATATACTAGCAAACATCCCACAGAGACCCCCTGAACAGACACCACAGACACCTCTGTATGCACCCCACAGACACCATAGCATACACCCCACAGACACCCCTGCACACATCCCAGGACACTCCAGCACTCACCACTGCAGACCCCACAGACACCCCTGCACACACCCCACTGACACACCCCTGAACACACCCCACTGACACACCCCTGAACACACCCCACTGACACCCCTGCACACACCCCACTGACACCCCTGCACACACCCCACTGACACCCCTGCACACACCCCCCACACACCCCTGCGGACAGTTTTGCCTGCTCCCCTCGATGCTCATGTCCTTAAGTATCATCTCGACTCCCTTGCTCAGCCTGCCTTCTCTCCATCAAAGGCCTTTGAACACACCTGCATCACCGTGTCTTGTCCACCTCCCACCCCACCCCCACCCTGGGAGCCAGGACTGAGCTGACCCTGGCCATTGCTGGATGGGAGACACCTGGGACAGTGTGGCCACAGCAGGCTTGCAGTCCACTGAGTAGTGGACAGTGGGATGGAATGCAGGCCTTGGCTGCAGGGTCCAGGCACTGGCGTGCTCACCTCGGCGGCAGCCACCTCATAGCCGTCGGGGTTCATGGAGGGCAGCAGGTGGACACGGGTGGTGTTGAGCAGACGTTGGATGCGGAGGTTGCCCAGCAGGTATTCCGAGCACAGGTACTGAGCCAGGTAGATGAGTATCTCCCGGCCTGCCACCTCGTTGCCATGGATGTTGCCAATGAGCTTCACCTCAGGCTCCACTGGGGAGAGACATGGGGACATGCGGTGTGGTCATCCACAGCCCAGGAAGGGCCAGCCCAGCGGTGGGAGCAGGGCCTGGTGCTGCTGGGGGTGGGGGTGGGGGGGGTCTCCATGTCTGGACCATGAGGCCCCCGTCAAGGCTTCAGTTTGGTGAGTTCACATCTCCCACTTAACCATAACTAGTCAGGGGTATTAATTAATAATGACAGAAAGCATAGTGAATTTCATCAACAGTGTGACATTCTTTGTCTTTGTGTAATGAGTCACAGTGCACGATGGTGCTTGTGTGAAAGGCAGCCAGCACGTGGATGGATGGACGGGTGCATGAAGGATGAGTAGATGGCTGGGTGGATGGATGGTGGGTGGATGGATGGATGGATGGATGGATGGATGGATGGGTGGATGGATGGATGGATGTATGGATGGATGGATGATGGCTGGCTAGATGGATGGAGGGGTGGGTGGGTGGTGGATGGGTGGGTGGGTAGGTGGGTGCATGGGTGGGTGGATGGGTAGTTGGATGATAGCTGGGTAGATGAGTGAGCAGATGGATGGATGGGTGGGTGGGTAGACAGAGAGATGGACGGATGGACAGATGGTTGGATGATGAATGGATGGATGGTAGGTAGCCAAGTGGATGAATAGTTAACAGATGGATGATTGACGGAGATATGGGGGAGTGGCTAGGCGGGTGGATGGGTGAATGGTGGGCAGTTGATACGTGGATGAATGAGATAAAGCACAAGTGGACGGTGGAGAGATGTGCAAGTAGGTGGATGGGGGGCTGGAGAGGTGGCAGTTAGAGACATAAAGCAAGTGCAGTGCCCGGTAGAATCTCCTTGTCCAGGCCCGGGATGGAACACACACTCTCATGAACCACCTCCTGGCCTGTGTCCTGGACTTGCCGGCCCCCACACCACGGAACTTGGACGAGGGCCCAGCATTGTTTGCAGGGTCACAGCTCGTCCTCAGGAGGCAGACCACCCCCACCAGTGCTGACCAAGACTCACTCAGCTCGTGCTGGCCGGGGCGGCCTGAGAACTCAATGACCAGGAGGTCTTTGCCGTCGAAGCTGCGCCCGATGCTGTAGGTCTTGGCGATGTGGGGACAGCGGGCGGCCGTCCTCTTCAGCACACGCACCATCTGGGCATAGGAGTGGTGGGTGAAGTGGATGAAGGTGGGGGGCAGGCTCGAGGGTGGGGCGTCCTCTGCCTCCAGGCCACCTGGGGAGGAGGCATCACTTCGATGAGTCCACTCTGCCCCCAGACTCATTAACCCCGCACTCTGGCTACCTGAGGCCCCTGGGCCATTCCCCGCCAAACCTGCACTCTATTTTCTATTAAAAATTCCCTTTATAATCGAGCCAACCAGTTCACAGTGACCCTGCAGGACCGGGCGACTGCCGCACCGAGTATCCAGGGCCACGATCTTCAGAGCACAGACTCCCTCATCTCTGAACTGCCGGTCTTTCATTGAGAGGCTCAACAGTACTCCCTTGCCAGGGCTCTTTAATGCAGACGTGTGGTGGGGGTGGAGTGCCATCATGTTGGAGCTGGACCTCAGGGTTTTCAGGGGCAGGAGGAGGCTGCCCATCTTTCTCTCACAGAGCGGCTCATGGGTTTGAACCGCAAGCCTCTGGGCTGGCAGCACAATTCCTTCCCACTAAGCCATCGGTGCTCCTTCATGCAGGCACATCGGGCTTTCCTGCACTTGGTAAGCACTGAGCTCTTTACAAACAGGTAGGTTTGTGGCAGCCCCGTGGGGGAGCGAGTCCAGGGATGCCATTTTTCCAACAGCCCTGCTCACTGCTGTCTGTGGCCTGTGGTAACTGTTACAATGTTTCAAATGTTTCCATCAAGCTGCTACACTTACCAGACTGCTAACCAAACACCATCCAGTTGGCTGGATCTCAGATGACCCACCCTCTGGTTTCTGAGGCTTAATGGAAAGAAACCGCCATATCCTCTCCCCACAGAGCTGCTGTTGGGTTCGAACTGCCAACCTCCTTGTTAGCAACCCAACACTGACAGACTACAGCACCAGGGCTTCCACACACAGCTTTTAGATGAACTAGAAAACCAAAACAATGCATGACTCATGTTATCGCAGCATTCGCCACAGACTTGAGACGAGGTCAAGACTTCAGGGGCCCTAACAATTTGCCGCACTGCAATCAAAATCACCACCCCCGTGGTGCACTTGTACCTGTAACAGTGCCACAGGTGATAACCACACGTAACGACCTCCTAACGTGACCATGAATAGAAACACAGAGCTAATACCATGCCCGGGAACACATCAGCCTCCTGGCTTCTCCCTCCTCATCTGCTTGTATGTAACCATCATACAGCCCAACGCAGCCTTATATTTACTCAGTACTGTGGCATCAACAGTTGCAATACCTGTAGATCAGCCAAAATTGTGTATGTAAGACACACACACACACACACACACACACACACACACACACACACACTGCCCCCAGCTGGGAGCATCTCCAGAAGCCTCATGTTACTGGCAGTGTTACAGGGAGCCTGATTGTACCCATTGTTCTCGGGGTGTGTGGTTGAGTCGCGATCGACCCTCAGTGGACCCACCAGTGGGTTTTCAGAGGCTCCTGCAGAGCAGCTGGTGGATTTGAACCGCATGCCTGTGGGACTGCAGTACAGCTTCTTACCACTAGGCCCCCGGAGACTCTTCCATAGAGAAGGGAGCTGGGACGCCAGCCCATTGCTGTTCCATGGATTCCAGGCCCCAGCAGCTTGCAGGACGGGGGAGAGCTGCCCAGAGTCCCCAAAGCTGCTGTCCTCACCCATCCTCATCCTGCACAAGGCCTCACAGCCTCACCCAAAGCGGCTGCTGATGTTAGCAGCTGAGTGCTCAACTCCTGCACCACCAAAACCCAACAAACACGTAGAGTCAACTCCAACCTGAACATGTCAGAATTACAAACTGCCAGTGTCTCCGAGGCTGTGATCTTTACAGAAGCAGATGTCACCTCGTCGCCCAGGGAGAAGCTGCCGCGTTCTAACTGCTAAACATTCAATTAGCGGCTAAACCACTGTGCCACCAGGAGTCCTTAAAGGAGGACAGGGCAGTGAGAAGATGAACAAAGGAGGAGGGAACAGAGGAGGAAGAAAAGAAAAGGGAAGGAGGGAAGGAAGGACAGAGGTGGAGGGATGGAGGGAGAGGGGGGATGGAGGGAGAGTCGGGGTAGAGAGAGGGAAGAGGACAGGCACAAAGGAGGAATGAGGGGCTGGAGCATGGATATGGTCTTTCACACTTGAACACTGTCCTCAAGAGAAACCCCTAGGCTAAGTAAGGGCAGGGGGGTTTGTTGTTGTTGATTGCCATCAAGTTGAGTACAACTCATAGCAAGTCTGTGAACAAAGGACCCACTGCCTTTCCATAACTACCGTCATTTCTCCAAGTTTATAGAGTTTCCAGAGGCATGTGGTTCAGGAAGTGGATGCCTCTCCTGCTTCTAAACCTGTTTTGCACCTGGGAGCTCCACCAAACATTGTTCACGTTGGGAAACCTTTCTGGTATTTGATACCCCTATGGCACAAGGTTTAGCATCACAGCAAAACCCAGGTTCCTTCATACAGCACATTGACAAAGAGTGGTGTACAAAGTGGAAGAGTGTTTCTCCAGACACAACAGCACTAGTCTGATTTAGCAGTTCTCACGTGTTGTCAAGTCGAATACAACTCAAAGTAAGCTTTGCACAAAAGACCTGAACTCTGCTCCATACTAACATCACTTCTGTACGTTTATAGAGTTTTGAGAGTTTGTACAGTTTCCAGAGGCATCTAGTTTAGGAAGTGGATGCCACTCCTGTTTCCCAGCGTGGATCAATCTGGAAGCTCATCCAAACACTGTACATAATAGGTAACCTTTATGGTATTTGACGTGACTATGGAACAGTGTTCAAAATCCCAGCAACTCCAAGTTGTAGGGGAGTGGACTTATTAAGGACCAGATCCAAGCTGGCTGTCCCCTCCCTGTCTCTGCAGAAGTCATGTTTCCCACAATCTTGGCTGGGTTCTTGAAGGTCAAGGGCCTCCCTCCTGCTGGACCTGTGGTTTCATTTCAGCTCAAATGGTTTTCAGGGGAACAAAAGCTGATGAAACCAGCAATTTGGTGATGGAGATGCCCAAAATATCCTGCCGCAGACCAAGTTTCAGGGCCCCAGGGCTGTCTGGGCCTCTTCTGGGGTCCACTGCCTCATCGCTGCCCCTCCCATACTTTCTGACCTTCAGGAATGGAGGCCCCTACATGGTCCGTGAATGATTATACAATAAACCAATTTTAAAAAAACATATTATAGCCTTGGAAACCACTTGGGCAGTTCTGTCCCCAGGTCACTGTCTCCTCAGTTTGCTGTCCCCAGTTCACTATCCCCAGGGCACTGTCCCCCCAGGTCAATGTCCCCCAGGTCAATGTCCCCCCAGGTTGCTGTCCCCCCAGGTCACTGTCCTGAAGGCACTGTCTCCTCAGGTCACTGTCCCCAGGTCATTGTTCCCCCATCACTGTCCCCAGGGCACTGTCCCCTCATGTCACTGTCCCCAGGGCACTATCCCTCCATGTTCCTGTCCCCCAGGGCACTGTCCCTCCATGTTTCTGTCCCCCCAGGGCACTAACACCTCAGGGCACTGTCCCATGTCACTGTCCCCTCAGGGCACTGTCCCCAGGGCACTGTCCCTCCATGTTCCTGTCCCCCCAGGGCACTATTCCCTCAAGTCACTGTCCCCCCAGTGTACTGTCCCCCCAGTGTACTGTCCCCTCAGGGCACTGTCCCTCCATGTTCCTGTCCCCCTCAGGGCACTGTCCCCTCAGGGCACTGTCCCATGTCACTGTCCCCTCAGGGCACTGTCCCTCCATGTTCCTGTCCCCCCAGGGCACTGTCCCCTCAGGGCACTGTCCTCTCAGGGCACTGTCCCTCCATGTTCCTGTCCCCCCAGGGCACTGTCCCTCAGGGCACTGTCCCC